AAACACTGTATCGATTTTTGTGTTTAAACCCCCAACCGCTATATAGATAGTGTTAAACTGAGGGCTATGATGTTGGATGTTACAGGCTGACTACAGACTGTTCTCGTTGCATAAAAAGTTAAGTGTTTATGCATATAGTGGTGTGTTCCTCATACTAAAAACATTTTCCTAAAATCAGATTTGAAAAGAATTGCAACATAAGAGCAAAATTGCAAAACCTTTCTGTTCAACTCTTTACAAAATGTTTTTTGCACCATGTCAACCTGCTCCTGCCTCCACAAAGACCAAATTATCCAAATTTAGTGCAAAGTTATGGTCAAGATATATATATATATATATGTATATGACATTACCCAGATCTGTGTGCCCACGCCTGTCTTTGTTCTCCCCATGTGCTAGCGTCACCATTACAAAGTGTGACTTCCCAGAGCCGTCTGTTGAGTTCTATGAGGAAAGAACAGGATTCAAGACATCCATCGCAGGCCTCAATGTTGCACTAACCGGCGGGTGGAGGACAAAATTTGGCATAATGTGAGTTCTCCTTAATGTCTGCTCTACGTGTAATCCACTTGATCCTAAAGCCAGTAACCCCACAGCTTTTCAGTAATATTGATATAGAAGTGTTTGGAAAGAGTGATTACTTATTAAATCTTGTAATTTAAATACATTAGTTGCACTTTAGTTTGAAACGTTGAAAGAGAAATGCAGGTCTACGTGAAGACTTAATGAGGAAGTGATATTAATGTTTTTAGTTCATCTGAGGTCAGTTAGAAAAGGAGGAGTGTCTTCAAAGGTATCATGTCAATGTCTCCGGAGCTGTGTTATTTAAACTCCCTGTGCTCTTGTGTGAAACATCATTGGCTATCTTACAGGGATGAGAAATCACCTGTTCACTCATGTGACATCATCCTGGCTTTTTAAATGTCTTTAAGTTACAAGAAAATAACTGTACATGAACTGTATTAAAACCTGACTCTAGTAGAGTCTGTTAGATTAGTCGGCTGATATTAGAGAATCATCAGTGGTTTATTACCTCCAACAAGAATTGATAAACATGCATCTTAAAAATTATTCAGAGGAGTGGCACAAAACACGTGTGCACATCCACACTGCAGTGATTTTGTTGACTTCCTGTTCTTTTCCCTCTTGAGTCATCAGGTTATTTTGTATCAGTGTAACTACACTGCTATCTACCCTTTACCTTTAGAATATGAAAGTAACAGCTTTAAGTCTGTTCTCAACTTGGGGTCCAGGGACCCCCAGCATCCTTGAGGGGGTTCCCCAGAAAAATGGGGAATATTTAAATTTCAATATTATTTAATTGACATTAGCCCAATGAGAGAGTATATAAGAACAACTGTTCTGTTCATATGTTGCACATTCTTCATTGTTAATCTGCCAATCTACAGTTTGGACATATCAAATACGGGTCTGCAGCCTGATGTGCATCAATCCGGGCGTCCTTGGCAAGAGAAAGGTTGAGAACCACTGTGATAACCCGACTGTAAGGTTAAAGGTCCACAGTCTGAACCGCATTGAGTTGTTTCAACATGCAGTTGACATCAAAGTATACAGAATCAAAATAAATAAATAATATAAATAAATAAATAAATAGAGCTATTCCTATTTTTTAATTGGCAATCTGAAAAAAATATTTCTGACTCCAGATTGATTATTCGGTCACTAATGCTTTGTTAGCATGTTTGTGTGCAATTGTGTTAGTAAAAGAAACAACAAATAAACAGAACAGAATATGACTTCCATAATTAAGCTACATAAGCCATCATGTATAATAAGTTATAAGTTAGTCTGCTGATTTCACTGTTTATGTTTGTATGCTACACACACACACGGGTTGCTGTGGCTTTAGAGGTTGCATGAAATAATGTTCACCAACACTAACGTACACTGACTGTTTGTATTTCCAGACATGACAGGGGATCATTCGACATGGCTATATTTAATGTGGATGTGACCTCTGTGGTGGAGCTGGGGAAAGATCCTGACGGGCATCTGTCTGTCACCAGTGTCAGCTGTGACGCTCAAGTTGGAGATGTGGACATAGAGTTCCATGGTGGAGCCAGGTACAGTACAACAGAGGGAGAGAGAGAGATAAAACCAGCAATACAGATGTCAAGATATAAACCCTGCATTTTTATTTGTCAATAGTTGGATGTTCCAGCCTTTTGTGAAGCACTTTAAGGGGCGTATCAGTGGTGAAATAGAGGAGAGAGTGAGTGCTTCTCTATATCTTTGTCACATATGTTAGTGGGAGCTTGGTCTATACTGTATGGTGATCAGATAATGCTCAGGGGAAATCTACTGTGATTTTCAGTGGTGAGCACTGCAGGACATTTGTCTTGTTTCTTCCAGATCTGCCCTAATGTGAAGGAATCCATTGTAAACCTGGAGTACCACCTACAGGCCGCGAATGGTATTGCAGCAGGCTACATCTTCATAAACACTCTAATTACAAAACAAAATGTACACATTAAAATCAGCTACGCAGGCCAAAAGTAGTTTTACTTTAAGCCAAAAATAAAAACAAATATAAATAAAATTTTAATTTATAAATAAATAATTCAGTCTACAAATGATTTCTATTCTGTCCAGTTTCCTTTCATGTGAATGAAGACATTACCCTTGACCTCGCTCTCACCGGTTTACCTGTTATTAATGCTTCAAGTCTGACTCTGGGTCTTACGGTAAGCAAACACAAATAGAAGTATGTAATTCATTTTTATGTTGTGGAAGTCCCCCGTCTTTGACCACATCATTTCAGACACTCACTTCTTTGAAAAAAGATGATATAAACACACACCTATTGGTATCTGTCCAGCATGCTCTGGTAACCATAATTTATGATGAGTGCCAAAACATGTGAAAAGAAACAATAACAACAAAATCATGATCAACAGCTGATCATTTGCTCATCTTTTTTACAGGGAGAGTTCTACAGTACCAAAACTCAGAAAGACCCTCCCTTTGAGGCCCAGCCGTTCACTATGCCTGAGCAGCCGGGATACATGTTGTCAATGGGCCTGTCTGAATTCACCCTGAACTCTGCCTCATATGGATACTTCTCAGCTGGACTGCTTCAGGCCAGCATCAATGACAGCATGGTAAGTGCACCTGAATGAAAAAATGCATAGTGAATGGAGAAAGCAGAGAAGGCAAGACAATTTAAGTGTGGTTAAGGGTCTCGAGCAGTCTATCCATTTCTGCACTGCTATGCGTTAACCGTTGATCTCTTTCTGCCCTAAATAATGTCTGTGGTTAAGAAATGTTGTTCCATCATCTCAGATACCGCCAGGCTCTCCTATGCACCTAAATACCAGCTCAATGGGGCCTTTCATTCCTCAGGTAAGTTTATTTGTCTCACTGTCACATTTGGTGTTATTACTGATAACTCACTGTATATTCATTTTTTATTTACTGTCACACAGACTTTATT